TTAAGTATCTGGAAACTTCTAATTATCAACTTCCTTTTTTCAATTATTTTATTATATTATTATTATAACCTAATCTAACTAATTAAATAATAATAATAATAATTATAATTATAATTATAATTTATAATTATAATTATAATTATTATTATTATTATTATTATTATTATTATTATTATTATTATTATTATTATTATTATTATTATTATTCCATCAATTATTTAACTTAAATAATACCTACCTCAAATTATTTAAATGAATAATTACCAACTAATATAATCTAGTTAGTTTTACTCAACGCACCACCAATCTCTACATTATTGCTCACACACCCCTGAACACCTTAAAGTTTATTCTTAAGGCCGCTACCCCGCACTAAGGTAGCTCAACCACACCAATAATACAGCAAAATCACAACAACACATAATTAAATTAAGAAAAAATAAATAAAATAAGTCGGGGTGTTACAGCCCTCCCCCACTTAGATTATTTTCATCCTCGAAAATTACCTGATGCAATAAACTCTGGATATGACTCTCGCATCTTACTTTCCAACTCTCAAGTCATATTTTCAATGGAAGCGCCTCCCCACGCTACCTTCACGAGAGAAATCTCCTTGCCTCTCAAGTGCTTCACCTCATGGTCTTCAATCCTTACAGGAAGAGCCTCAACTGTAAGGTTATCCCTTACATAAACATTATTCATCAAAATCACATGTGACAGATCTGGAACATACTTCCGAAGCTGTGAAACATGAAACACATCATGGAAAATTGATAAATTTGGTGGAAACGCCACTTTATAAGAAACAATTCAAACTTTCTCTGAAATCTGATATGGACCAATAAAATGAGGAGTAAGCTTCCTTGAATTCAAGGCACGTCTGACACTGGTCACCAGAGTGACTCTTAAGAATGCATAGTCCCCCTCTTGAAACTCAAGATCCTTCCTTCGCTTATCGTGGTAACTCTTCTGCCTACTTTGTGAAGCTTTTATCTTCTCCCGAATCAGCTTCACCTTCTAAGTAGTCTGCTGGACAATCTCGGGTCCAACTACCACAATCTCATCAGATTCATACCAACATAGAGGTGTCCTAAACCTCCAATCATATAAAGCTTCAAAAGGTGCCATCCCAATACTAGAATGATAATTTTTATTATAAGTAAATTTTATCAATGACAAATGATTATCTCAAGCACCTCTTTGTTCAAGAACACAAGCTCTCAACAAATCCTCTAAAGACTGAATCATCATCTCTGTCTAACCATCTGTCTGTGGATGATAAGCAGAACTCAACCTTAATTTTGAACCCAAAGTCTTCTGTAAACTTTCCCAAAATCTGGATTGAACCTCAGATCTCTATCTGACACGATACTCAATAAAACTCCATGCAACTTCACAATTACACAGATATAAATCTCTGCCAACTTCTGCAAATAAAAACTGATGTTAATCGGTATAAAATGCACTGAGTTTGTCGGTCTATCAACAATTACCCAAATAGCATCATACCCTCTTGGAGTATTCGGCAACCCCAGTCACAAAATCCATAGAAATGCTATCCCACTTCCATTCTGGAATATCCAACGGCTGCATCAACCCTGCAGGTTTTTGATTTTCGATTTTCAGATTTTGATAAGTCAAACAAGCGTACACAATCTGTGCCACATCACGTTTCAATCCAGGCCACCAAAATATCTTATTCAGATCCCGGTATATATTTGTAGCTCCTTGATGGATACTCAAGCTACTCTTATGACTTTCTTCCAAAATCATCTTTTTCAATTCAGGATCGTCAGGAATAAAAACCCTGTCACGAAACCTCAGGACACCCTATCCATCCATTCCAAAACCACTATCCTCAGTCTGATTACGCCCAACCATCAAGTCGACCAACTTCACATCCAACTTCTGACTCTCTTTGATATTATTAAGAAAATCATTGTTGATCTTTAACATGCCCAACATCACACTCTGCGGTGTCAGCTCACAGACCAAACTCAAGTCTCTGAACTACTCAATTAATTCCAGCTCTCTCACTATCATAGCAGACAAATGAAAATAATTCTAACTTAAAGCATCAGCCACGACATTAGCTTTACCGGGATGATAATTTGATCCAAAGTCATAGTCTTTCAGAAATTCTAACCATCTTCTCTGCCTCATATTAAATTACTTCTGATCAAACGTATAATTCAAACTCTTGTGATCACTAAACACTTCAAATCTAGAACCATAGAGAAAATGTCTCCAAATCTTCAACACAAACACCACTACAGTCAACTCTAAATCATGAGTAGGACAGTTCCTCTCATGAACCCTCAGTTGTCAGGAAGTATAAGCCACAACCTTCCTATCTTGCATTAGCACACCACCTAAACCCATCAAAGATGCATCACAATACACCATAAACGGTTCATTCAGTTAATGCATAATCAAAATCTAAGTTGTAGTCAATCCCTTCTTCAGCTCAATGAAACTTTTCTCACAATGAATATCCCACACAAATGCTTTACCTTTATAAGTCAATCGAGTCAACAGAAGTGCTAACTTAGAAAAACCTTAAATAAACCTGAGAAAATAACCAGCCAAGCCCAAAAATCTTCTAATCTCTCTAACCGACTTTGGAGCCTCCCTTTGTAGAACTGCATCTACTTTAGACGAATCCACAACAGCATCATCACCTTAAATGACACGACCAAGAAAAATCACCTCTTGCTACCAGAATTCACACTTCAACAACTTTACATAAAGCTTCTTTTCTTTCAACACTTGCAATATAATTCATAAATTTTCAACATGTTCCTCTTCTGATTTAGAATAGATCAGAATGTCATCTATGAAAACTACTACAAACTGGTCCAGATAAGTGTGAAAGATACGATTCATATACTCCATAAACACACCAGGTGCATTAGAAATGTCGAACAAAATCACTAAATACTCATAATGTCCATATCGAGTCCTGAAAGCTATCTTCTGAATATCCTCATCCTTCACTCGAATCTGATGATAACCCGACCTCAAGTCAATTTTGCTAAATACACATGCACCCACTAACTGATCCATCAAGTCATCTATTCTCGAAAGCGGAAACTTGTTATCAATTGTCACTTTATTCAACTGTCGGTAATCCACAAAAAACCTCATACTATCGTCTTTCTTCTTTACCAATAATACTGAAGCTCCCTAAGGAGACACACTTGGTCTCACAAATTTCTTCTCTAGCAACTCTTCTAATTAATTCTTCAGCTCTACTAACTTCGACGTTGACATCTTGTATGGTTCCATAGAAACAGGTATAGTACAAGGGACAAGATCAATGGAAAACTCCATCTCTCTCTCTCTCTCTGGAGGTACATCTAAAATATCATCTGGAAACACATCTCAAAATTCATACACCACCTGCAATTCGTCAAGCACAACATGACTCTTCACAAACAAAGACGCAAACAACGCAAGTACCTGAGCTTCCTCTTCCAAAAGCTTTTTCGATTCTCTAGAAGACAAGAAACCAGCGTCTTCGTTATCATCAGGAGCAAGAAACCGCGCCGACTTATTATAACAATTGATATGAACGTGACTAAAATCTAACCAGGTCATTCCCAATATAAGATTTAGGTTTCCCAACGGCAAGCAAATAAGATTAACATCAAAGTCTCTATCAAAGATCGACAGAGGACAATTCCAACAAACCAGGGAAGTAGTCATTGATCCCTTAGCATGAGTTTTGATAACCATTTCTCCCTTCATAGTAGACACAACTACTAACCCATTGACACGAAGACCTAACAACATATGGACATCCTCTAGTGTCACTGTGCATTCACCTGTGGGGAAGTGAAAAGTTTGGGTTTCTGGTCGCCATCTATCGCACAAGGCGAGAAGAAATTTGCGATCAATTCCATATGATGTTATCTTGATGACGTGACCAAACCCGCTTGAATCAAATATGGTTTGATAATTTCATCAGGCTCTATGTACTTATGTGAGCGTGGTTTGAAATTTTTTTCATCCTACAAAAAAGTATTTTAAATAACATTATTAGAATGTAACAACTTAATATTTTAAATATTTTAAATAACAACTTAAAAAATATTTTAAATAACTAACATAAATATTATAATGTTACTTTAAGTAAGACAATAACATTATAACATTTTAAATAAATTTGTAAATATTAACTTATATAATTTTTTAATTTTTAAAATTTTTAAATAACATCATAAATTTTTTAAATAAGTAAAACCATTTTAAATAAATAAATTTGTAGAGATTAACTTACATAAGATGTAATGTTTGCAAGTGTACCGCGATGATCATCTCCTAAGGTGAGTAAACCCATTTTTGAGACGAGATGGTAGTAGAGTGGTAGTAGAGACTTTTTAAGAGTGGTAGTAGAATTATATAGAGAAGAATTATAATGGTAAGAATTATATAGTAGAGATTTTGTAAGATTGGTATGTAGATATTTTTTAAGAATGGTGTTTATAGGAGATTAATATGAGTAAAAATTAAATTGAGTGTTGGGAAGAATTAAATAGGTGTTGGTAAGAATTAAATTGTACGTGTCTGCATGCATGGGAACAGATTTACTGTTTGTTTGTCAGCCGCCCTTTCAATGGGCGGCAAATTTACTTTTTGCCTGCCAGCCGCAACATCAATGGGCGGAGCACACTTAATTTTTCTGACAACCGCAACATTAATGGGCGGAACACACTAAATGTGTCAGACTATCGCAAAATTAATGGGCGGCACATTTGTTCCTTTTTTGACTGTCGTTAATGCAATGGGCGGCACCCTTTAAATTTTTCTGACAGCCTCCCTTTCAATGGGCGGCACATTTATTCTTCTGTTGACCAAGTCCAGCGTGTAATATTCTTGCATGCATGTTTGCTAAAAATTTTCTTCTATAGTTTACTTCGAACATTTATTTCTACTACTCATCTTCTATATTCAAACATTTATTTCTTCATACTATTTCATTAAAATCATCTTACATAATGTCTAATAGTCAACAATATATTGTTAATGCTCATTACAATGGGAATGTTGTTGTATCAGATGAAGTGGGTTTGATCTTTGAAAACACTGACGTAACTCGTTTTAGTGTTAATAAAATATCGTCATTCCGACATTTTAAAGATCGGGTACATATGAAGGTGCAAGCAGGATCAGTCACAAATATTACGTACAAAAATATTGTCTATTTCGGGAACCATCACTTTAAATTTGTTCCATTAAAGGTTCGCGACGACGAGGATGTTGAAACGATGTTTTTGAATCATGAACGTTTTGGGTTTCAGCATATTGAATTATATATAACATTTGCAGAATGTCAAGAAACTCAAATTTCTCAAGTCATTAATCCATCCATAGAGGCAACACCAACCATAATTATACTCGAAGATGTTGAAGAAGAAGACGACGAAGAAGAAAATGAGGCACATGTTGATGATTTATATACTACATTATTTGAGGAAGGAACCGGTGTCAACAAAGTCAACACAGATGAACAATACATTCCAGTTGAGAATGTATTCATCCCACCGATGCATATGACAACCCTGTCGCTAAATATAGAAGGAACATCATTTGAATGGCCACAAAATTCTCATATTCTAATGGAGGGTGACATCGAAGTTGGTAACCAATTTAAAAATAAAGTTGACTGTGTTGCTGCCATTAAGAAATATCACATGAAATACTGCGTGGATTATAAAGTGACAGATTCTGACAAGAAGAGATACATAATTTTTTGCAAGAATGATTCCTTCAAGTTTCGTCTATTGGCGTCCTACTGAAAAAGAAGTGACTTGTGGGAGATAGGCATTATGAACCCACCCCATAGTTGTTCAACAACTATGTTTAACCAGGATCATCAAAAACTAACCTCGCAGTTAATGTCTTAGAAATTAATGCCATTTGTAGACAAGGGTCCTTCTATTAAGGTTAGTATTTGTATAAGTAAAATTTGTTTATGAATACAATTTTACTCTGTCTTCCAGAAAGACATGGATTGCAAGGAATAAGGCAATTGAACAGATGTACGGTAACTGGGAGAACTCATACAATGAACTTCCACATTTTCTGTTAGCACTTAAAAAATTTGTTCTGGGCACTGTGCTGGAAATAGAAACACTACCCATGTATACAGCTGACGGAACACTTGCTGAAGGGAAACACATATTCCAACGGCTATTTTGGGCATTCCAACCATGCATCAGAGGTTTTGCCTATTGCAAACCTATACTTCAAATTGATGGAACCTAGTTATACGGTAAGTACAAGGGTACACTACTTATGGCAGTGGCACAAGATGGCAACAACAATATTTTTCCTGTTGCTTTTGCCCTTGTGTAAGGTGAAACCGCTGAAGGTTGGGGTTTTTTCTGCAAAACTTAAAGAGGCATGTTGCGCCACAACCAGGCCTATGTTTAATTTCATACCGACATACATCAATTGAAAGTACATACAACAATGCAGAAAATGATTGGCATAATCCCCCATCAGTACATGTTTATTGTATCTGACACATTGCACAAAATTTTATGAGAGAAATCAAGGACAGAAACCTACGAAAGAAAATAATTAACATGGGTAACTATATTTCATAATATTCATTAAATTTTGTCAATAACATATATTATTTTTTTGTCCTTCGTTGATATTTTAATTATCCAAGGTATGCTTTAAACCAACCAACATTTCATTACTATCGGTCAGAGATTGGCATGGCAAATGTAGATGCTTTAAGGTGGATTGACAGTATTCCAACTGCAAAATGGACAAGGGCATTTGACGAGGGTCGACGCTGGGGTCACATGACTACCAACCTTGTTGAGTCATTGAATGTTGTCTTTAAAGGCACACGTAATTTTCCCATTACAACATTGGTAAGGGAAACATATTATAGACTGAGATCTTTATTTGCTGAAAGGGGTGCAAAGTGGAGTGATGTGTTGAATTATGGCCAAACATTTACAGACAACTGCCTCAAGGTGATGAAAGAAGAAAAAACAAAATCCAGCACACATCAAGTCAGACTTTTTGACTACGCTAACAATGTTTTTAGTGTGAAGGAGACAATGGACCATGATAAGTGGAATCATATGGGACATTATAAGGTCGACCTCTTGAACGGGTGGTGTGACTGCGGAAAGTTTCAAGCATATCGTGTCCCTTGCTCACATGTTATCGCCGCATGTTCAAATGTGTGCCACGACGCTTACGCTCTTTTGTCCGACATTTATAGGGTTACAAACCTGTTTGGGGTTTACAGCACAAGCTTTCCAGTGTTGTTGTATGATGGATATTGACCCGTTTATGAAGGAGATCAAATTTGTCATAACCCAAGAATGCGGAGGAACAAGAAAGGTCGCCCGGTGAGCACACGTATTAGAACGGAAATGGATAACTTTGATAAGCTTAAGAGAAAATGTTCCATGTGTTGTCAAACGAGCCACAATCGAACCCGGTGTCCCAATCTGGGAACAAGTAATCATTAGTGTTTTTATTAATTATCATATATTAAATAATATTAGTTAATGATATCAATTAATATAAATTATGTATTAAATAATATTAATTATATTAGCTTCATTATCTCTTACTAAATAATATTAATTATTATTATCAACCTATATTAATATTATTGATATTAATTAATATTAATTAATTTTAAAATTATATTAATATTAATATTTAAATTATATTAATATTATTATATATTAATTGATTGTATTAATATTTACATTAGTATTGATAATATTAATAATATTAAGATGAATATATATTAATATTAATATTAATATTATTAATATATATTATTAATATTAATAATTAATTAAAACATAAAAATAAAATAAAAATACATTGGACACTGCCGCCCATTGAAAGGGCGGCACCTTTTAAATTAAGCTAATGCCGCCCATTGAAAGGGTGGCACCCTTGTACCAATAATCTTCATTTTTTTGAAAGTGTGGCATTATGGGACTTAACTTGGAAAAAATGGTATTTTGGAAATAAATGTTTAAAAACATGGCAGGACAGTGCAATTTTCTGCGTTCTTAGGGGGAAAAGGGTAATTTATAATGATCATTTTCTTGTGCAAAACAAAAGAGCCTCTTTTAAGCATTCCAATCTTAAATCCTGTGACCCTCTTGCTGATATTTTCTGCTCTCTTGAACAAAGCACTCTTACTTAGCAAGTTGAATAAAAAGATTCTTCACATGATGTCAAACAAATTTTGGGCAATAGACTTTGGGGCAGATTTTTTGGAAATGTGTAGGCAGCCAACTTTCACAAAAATGATGTTCTTGAGTAGTTAGCATGGAAAGGAACAACTTTCCAGTTGAAGGAAATACCAAAAAAAACTTGGAAAACCCTCAAAACAAACTGTTAATTTGTGTTCTCAAATCTGACTTACAACCCTTCATGAATATATTTGCACCTTGTTCTGCCATAACTTCTTGCTCAAACCACCAATCCTTACAAACATGATATCAATGGAAAGCTGAGATAATCATCTACAACTTTCATGTTTTAAGATAATCGAAATAAAGTTTAGAAGTACATGAAAAATGGCCTGGAAGTTGGGTATAAAAAATTGTCATTCAAGGGACTTAGCAGAATTTTCTGTTACCAAAACATGACTTTAAAAACCATTCACTTTAGAGCCTCATAACTTGAGATTGGTTGGTCCAAATGAGAGGTTCTTGGTATGCTTGGAAAGCTTAGAGAACAAGGAACAAACCTAATGTTTGAATAATTTTAAATTGAGGCTTGGAACATTGAGAAAAACCCACATGAAGTTGCCTTCAAAATGCTGAAAATTAAATTGTCAAATTTAACAACTTTGCAACCCTAATTTCAAAGCACCATAGCTTGAGTTCTAGACATGCTTTTGAAGATTTTTTTATATCAAAAGAAAGCTGAGAGGATTATCTACAACTTTCATGTTGATGAAAAAGTCAAATTAAACTTGGAACCCTCTTAAATTTGGCCATGAAATTCAATCCAACAAGCTGAAATTTATAACTTAGAAAATTTCTAAGTATGGAATTTCCAAATCAAGTTTTTTTCAACTTTGAATCAACATAACTCCAAATCCATTCATCTTTTGGGCATAATTTCTTCTACAAACTCGAAGTTTTAGATATCCTCTTTACAAAGATCATTGGTTTGCTCCAATTGGTTCATGAATGAGTGAGATATAACTCTTGCAAGATGACTACAATTCTTGATTTCCACACTTAGAATTTTTTAATCAAAACCCTAATTTCACCAAACTCTTGATTTTATGATTCTAACTTGATTTTCCTTGATTCATTCATATGCAACCATGGAATAAGACTTGTGAAGCTCTTGTTTGACTTTAAAACCCAATGGTTGAATTTTATGATACCTCGGTTGACTTTTGAATCAGATGAAGTCAATACCTCTCCCATCCACTTAGGAAGCTTTTGAATTGGATTTCTTTAGACCAAATGACCTCTTATGAACCCATGAAATGTGTGAGAACTTGTTTGGTTGATTCCCCCTTCAAGTCTTGATTAATCAAGGCTCTCCTCTTCTCTGTAAAACCCTAATTCCACAAAACAAACAAAACCACAAGCTTGATGATTTAGTTAGTGATGCAAGGATGATTGACCTATGATGCTCATGTAAATGTTGATGACATCTAAGTGGTAAAATTTGGGGTATGATAATATGTATATATGTGTGTATGTGTGTGTGTACACACACACACACACATACAGATATATATATATATATATATATATATATATATATATATATATATATATATATATATATATATATATATATATATATATATATATATATATATATATATATATATATATATATATATATATATATATATATATATATAAGAATTAATATGTGATAATCATCATCAAAAAATAGTACATTGATGTCATCAAAATATAGTACATCAAAAAACATTACAGCCACTACTGTATGTGTTTAACAACATCTGCATCCCCTCCTCCGCCTATGCCTCTCCCGCCTCCTCGATCGCCTAGTTTGCGTCCTCGGCCATCGATCCCACCCGTCCTGGCGCGATGTCTTTGGTACATAAGTTCTCATGCTGCCACCGCAATCATGTCATCCAATACACGCCTGTGGTCAGACCTCTCAGGGAAGAAATCGACGGCAATGCATGTCCGCCCCATCTCTACTATCTGACAACAGCGAGGCAAGACATCCTGAGTGTGGTCCAATTGAGACTGCTGCTTCTCTAAGATCTACTAATGAGTTATTTTGGACGGTGATCCTTCGGCAGTGGACACCATGTAGGGGTGTCAGACAGTGAAGAACCGCATGATGTAGTCATCAACGCAACTCTAGTATGTCGGTGCTCTGGTCTCCCCAGCCTCGTCAGGTACCATGTGCCTTTGGTAGTCGGCATAGATCTACATACGGTTTAAGCCGAGAGGAGCGGAGACGGTTGAGTGTCTGGGAATGGTCTGAGTGTAGTCGAACTTCCGCATGACGCATTGGGGAAAATATGGAACGGTGATGGTCGAACTGCATGCCAACCATCCTGAGAATAAGAAGATGTCGTCAAACGGGCGTGTCACACGGTCATCAGCATAGATGTCGTACCGGATGTCCTCAGAAGCCAGGCGATCGAGATATACTCTGTAAGGGTCGACCGTCTGGTTCCTCCTGAGCAGGAGAAAGGCGCGGGCATGCGGTATCTACTCTGTGTAATTAGGAACACTCCCCCACCTGGCGATCATGGGAAAGTGTTAGGATATCCAAGCCTGAAATG